CAAACAGGCTACTGAGACTATGCAATGACAGCAACTATATTAGAGAATAATAAATGCTGAGGCTGCTACTTTCCAATGGGCAATTTTGAGTTTTTGCGCAAACTTGATTTTCTTTAAACAATTTTCTGACTGAGATGGTCATTCACAGCAATACCTACACCTACTTGCCGAGTTGTGCTATGAACATCCATCAGCTCTGCATAATGTATAAGAGACATAAGCACCAGCAAGCCAGCTAATTCTTTGCAGAGTGATAAATCAGCATACATGTCTTCAAGCTGAAAATTAATAAGTGCATATAATTCTTCATATCTGGCGATTTGAAGCACGATGCAGCAGACACAATTGAGGATGCAGGAGAGATTTTTTTCTTTTACTGAAATGAAAATGCAATATTTCATGCTTAGGTTTGAAAGACGTATAGCTTAATAAAATAAAGCTTATGATTCAAGTCACTCTTTTACTTCAGAACTAATTTATCGTGCATTTTACACATACTGCAAGTGATGAACAGTGGCCTTGGATAATTACTTTCCTTACAAAGTGTGGGAATCAAAGGATATGTTTTAATGTGTGGTCACAGATACGACCATGCTGATGAACTGCAAATAACCAACCCAAGAGTCGACGATGTGCCTTCTTTGATAGCTGTACTGCTTATAAATTGTCTTTTCCATGACAATCGCAATGGGAGAAAAGCACTTAATACTAGGATTTTTGGTGCGTGGATTTAAATTAAAAGAAAATATGGCTGTGTGCAAGTATAACCGCTAGCAAGGAGAAGAGAACTGTGCCGGTCACTTACCAACGGTTTTGATACACAGGCATGACAGGTTTCGTTCACCAAAGCTAGTACTAGTCCTGGCAGCCCATTAGAATCCAACTCGATTTGCAGATCCTAAACAGAATCTGCAAAAATTTGTGGAGGGTCGGGGAGCAATTCCTCTCGTCACTTACAGTTCGGCCAAGCCCTACATGACATCATTGAAGGACAATTTTGTGTATCGTTTCCCAAAACTAATTCACATTTTCCCCGTCATATTCCAGGTAAGCTGTGGCAACAAGTACTGCTGCTTACAGCAAAAGGCACAAACAGCATCCCACCCAAATGCTCATACAGGCTTGATCTTTCAAGGGGCCATGTAATCACCCTTCAGTGAGAGCGAACAGCGGTGACTTAAAGCCGGGAAGCCTGACGGAGATTTCCTTTATCCAGTATCTGAGGTTTAAGTGCTCAACGCTCTGTGACAACACACAGACTCGGAAAGGTTCAGTCTTCACTCTCCAACGTTTTAGGAAGGCCTCAGCACTTTGTAGGAGTAGACACATACTTGGCAGCCAATACCAAAACAACTAGTAAGCATTGCCAAAGGCAAGCTGATAACACATCTTCTGTGATCAAGGCTCTGTGCGTTAACACACTCGCTCGCGCACTCCTATGTAGCGGATTATTTTACAGCTTCCAATTAATTTAACAAGATTCCCGTTTTGAATAAGTAAGCCATGCATAGCTTTAATTCCAAACTGTGCAGGTTTAAGGGGAAGATTAATATATAGTTATTTAACCTTTCCACCAAAAAATTTTGATTTTTTCAACATTCTGGCCAAAAAAGCAACGGTTCATTAGGGAAGGCTTCCAGTTTGAGGAGTTGGCTGCCTACCTCAGCTACAACCTTCAGCTGCTATTACCAGCCTCTGACTCTCCAGCCTCTCCTAGACATAAACACTTTCCATAACTGGACTCCTTTTTTGAAAAACTGGAGTCCAGACCGTAGAAGGCTCGGCCCATGAAGAGTGTCCTCACTGAGGGAAATTAAAAAACGCTGGCTCTTACTTGGCTGCATGTTCCTCTCTCTCTCCTGCCACTATCTCCAGCTGAGCAGCGAGCTTCACAACAGAGCAAATTTCCTCCCTTTCGGGGACTCAAGGCATATGAGCCTTAGTGATGCGGGATTCATCTCCCCGTTTAATACTGAAGCAAGAATTCATCTTAAGACTCTAAGTCACAACATGGTAAGAAAACCCATGCGATTTGGAGGCAAAACATTCCTTTGAATCTTTAGGGGGATTTGGGAGAATCTAACCCGATTCCTAACTGCCTCTATTTCCATTATTCTGCTGGAAAGTGCTATTAGTTGCCAGAAAGATCTACCCTGGTTAAGGCTGTTACCTGTGGCAAGCACTGTTTAAGCAGTTAAATTAAATGGTCTTTTGGTTAGTGATAGCTGAAACAGAGGACAACAGAAAGGCTGGGCGAGCACGGTGGCAAAGCCATACGTTTGATTTGTATGTGACTGCTTAAAAGAAGCTGTGTCACTCGCCACAGCAGTCAGACAATACTATTAGACAACAATAGGATTTAAAACTCTTGTAACACTGACTGGTATTATGTGACTGAGGATTCAATAATGCAGTTCAGTGTCTTCCATGCCCTCACTGCAACTATCAAATAGTTCCAACAGTCATTTCTCCTAGAAAATTAAACATTCTGTTATCTTCAGCACCATTGCTGAAAAAAAACCTAACTATTCAGCTGTGGCCTCTGTAACTGTTTTTACTTACATTTTTCTAGTTGTGAAGTGGTGTTAATATCTTAAGTTTGTAATATAATTTAGGGTTTATTAGTTAAGACATACTAAACACCGGTCAACTGCTATTCTTTCCTGCTAAATCTAAGTTTGTGTCAAATGCAGACGGGCCGCCTGCTAGCTGCTGGATCTCCAAGAAATTTCCATTTTACCACCAAAGCCCCAAACCTCCGTATAGCGCGGAGCGCGGATCAGAGAAACACACC